CTAAAGAGTCTTAGAGGTGTTTCATACGAGCGAATTGAGCAGATGTTTAAGCTGTGAGCTGGCTCGGTTGTATGTCTGTTGAACATGATTTTGTGGTATGTGACTCGTATGAACCGACTGTTGGGCCCATGTAGGGTGTTACCCCAAGGACTGAACCTGAGGAAAGTGTTGAACTTGATGTGCCGGTTGTCGGCTTGTAGGCTCACCCGAGTTGAATTGGGTCAGAGCATACCCATTACTCAGAGGTTGCACAACTTGGCCATTTAAGGCCTACAGGATAGGATCACCACTTAACTGAGATGGACGACTCAAGCTGTTATGACGACTAGACCTCTGATCTTGGGCGGCTAGGTCTACTTGGCCCTAACCTTGGTTGGATGATCTATCCCTAGGATTAGGGTATTCTCTTGCCCCAACACTGGATTGAAAGAGTGAAGGAATGCCATGATTATTGCCAGAGCGAGTCTGCCCTCTAGGTAGCCTTAGGCTCGAGTGATGATTAGAACTAGACCCCTGGCTCGTAGTGGGCTGGATTGGCAGGCTAACAGCCCTAAGATCATCTTGGTTTGAGCTAAAATGTTGGACTTGGCCTATGACTTGAGCTTCTGACATCACTTTCCTTGATTGAGTGCGCTGGATGGTGTATCCTCTGTTGATGAGGTCTTGAAAGTAAGCATGCACTTTATGATTGTCTTTATATCAAGTTAGGTCAAGACCCTGATCTTCACTGGTGATTGGTTGCTTGGGTCGACTTGCCCTAGTTGTATGTAAGCTCACTCGCCCACTAACAGGCTGATTGCCAATATTGGAATGTTGGGCTGCTATATGACCATTGGGGTTCATCCGACTTAGATCGGTTGACTCAAAGATTTAGGTTGGGGCCTTATTCTTATTGTGCCGACTGGATTTTAGGTTAACCTCTATGTCCTGGAGGATTGTCCCTGGCGTGATCTCTTGATTATTCAGGGTATTACAAACCTTATTAACATGTTGACTTGTGACTTCTAAAGGGTGGCCTTAAAGGAGGCTTGGACGGCTAGGTTTGGTTTTATGTGGATCGAGAGTCGGCTCACTGACACCAGTGCTATGGATGATCTATGAGGGAGCACTGTGATGGTGCCTTTAGGACTGACTAGGTACTCTGGATCTAGACTGAGCAGGGGCCATAGGGTTGGACTTTGCTCTGCCATGGGTCATAATTCCTAGACTTGGTGAGATCTAGACTCGACACCTCAGGGTAGACCTATTATGTCTCTAGGGGCAAAACTCTAACTAAGTTCTAGGGTAGAACTAGAATGGATGATACCTGTTAGACTCAATGGGTTTTGGTTTGAACCGAGAACTAGGGTCAGCCTAGTCTAGCTCTAGAGGCAACTCTAAGCTTAGACCTATGCTAGAACCTAGACCTAGACTAGATTGGTATGAGTCTCTGCTCGGACCAAGAGTGGGTCTGGGTTCGGACCTGGGTGTGAGCCTGGTTCAGACCTTGACTGAGCTGGGTGCAAGCCAGGGCTTGGACCAAGAGGGTTGTGATAATCAGATTAGGTGTAGACCCGGACTGGATCAAAGTTGGTTTAGGCACGAGCCCTTGGCTCGAATCAAAAGGGGGCTTAGGTTTGGATCTGGGTGTGATCCTGGTTCGGACCTGGGCTAAGCTGGGTATAAGCCTGAACTTGGACCCAAAGAGTTTTGATGATCAAACGAGGTGTGGACTAGGACTGTATCAAGGATAAACTAGGGCCGAGCCTTCGGCTCAGACCAAAAGGGGGCCTAGGTTCGGACCTGAGTGTGAACTTGGTTCGGACCTAGGCTAGGCTGGGTACAAGCCTAGACTCGGACCCAGAGAATTTTGATGATCAAACCCGGTATGGATCTGGTCTGGATCAGAGATGAGCTAGGAACGAGCTCGGCTCGGACCCTAAGGCGGATTAAATTCGGACCAAGGCGAAACCTGGTTCGGACCTGAGCTAAGCTGAGTACAAGCCTAAACTTGGACCCAGAGAGTTCAGTTAGGACTAAAAGCGGGTCCAAACTAAGATCTAAGATTAACCAACATAAATAAGTAAGCTAACACGCGAAAAATTTTGACGTAGTATTATAGATAGGCTTGGCTTGAGAGTGGGTTCCTAACTATTGAAATGCGGCTAGGCTGATATAGGTCCCCACATAGGTCCTGACCTCCTGTTATAGGATGTTCACCAGGTCCTATTATACGCAAAGTTGCTTTGAGACAAAGGATTACGGAGGGGCGCTCACAATTAAAGTTACGCGAATCCCAACCGCCTCGACTCACAAAGCTAGGTTCCCCTTACGACGCTAATGCATATTTTTGGGGTTTTCGAAATATTTGTTTGCTGGTTTCCCAGGCACTCCCAGTCCGATGTATGCTGGAGTGTGTAAAGAAGCACACAATTAAAATAAAGGCAAGCACACAATGCACACAAAACAAGCAAAACAAACAAATTGAATTCAGATATGAGGCTAGATCTGCTCGAAAACGAGCATATATACTCTCAGATGTGTTGTAGGGCCAAAATAATCCAAAACATTACAAAATACGATTGTTAAGTAAACAAACTGATCAAAATAAAATGAAAACAATAAAAGCAAAAGAGATAGAATGGAAGAAAATGATATCGAACCGGGCTGGATGGCCCGGGACTCCCGAGCCTTCTAGGGCTCGCCTGTATCAGAACCGATCCTCTTTTGTCTCTCTGATCCAGATATTAGCCAGCAAGTCTTTTCAGTATAGGGTGGATGGTTGTAGGTGTCCTAGGTCTAGGCTCTCTTAGGCTTAAGGGTTGAAGTTCCAGGAGGTTGGGTATTTCCTGAAGCTATCTCTAGGGTTTCCAATCTCTTTGAGGTTTCTATCTCTATCTCAAGTTTTCTCTCTCTATCATAGGTTTTCTCTCTCACCCTCATCTCTCTCGTCAAATGACCACAAAAAGAGGCCTTATAAAGGTTAAAACTCGTTGGGAAAGATAAGCACGTGTAACAAGCAAATTCTCTGTCAAAACGTCAACTTTTGAGAGTCACACATGCCTTGTGTCGCCTAAGGCTGGGCGGCACACTCGGTGTCACACATGCCAATTTTGGTCCAAATTGATATTTTTCACTTCTGGTGTGTTCCTCAGCCTCTTGTGAAGCTCTCAGAGAAACTTTAGGTTACTATTTTTAATGATTGTTTTGGTAAAACAGGTCAATTGTAGGTTGACTTGGGTGATACACCCATGTTGCCTAAACCAAAACTTGTCCAAAGTGATGGTTTTCAATGTGGGTGTCTTCCTCAGCCTATTGTGAAGCTCTAAGAAAAAATTTGGGTCAAAACGGATTTTTTTACTATTTTTAATGATGTTTTTGGTAAAACAGGGTGTTTACAGAAATCTAGATCAAAACATGGTTTCTATAGGGCGAGCAGGCAGACTGGTTCTGGGTCACAAGGTAGGTTGTGTGACCTATGGATTTGAGTTTACTAGATTAAGTGTGATTCTAAAAGTTCAGGAAGCCATAGTATTTGCCAAATTTAAAATAGAGTGTCCACACACATACCCACACACATATATATAAGTAAAATATATGATATATATATAGTATGAATATTATATATGGCGGTTATATAATATAATATAGGGAAAAGTTTATGTAGAGCCGAGGCTCTAAACAAGCAAATTGGAGCCTACCTCAAATTGATTGTCTGGACATCAAGATGTACGGACATAAGAAAAAAATAGATTTCAAGTTTTTGAAATAGTGTTTATTGTAACGCATTTTTGGACCACCAATTTTCAAGTTTTCATAGATCTCTCGTTCTACATTACTTTTGAAGATTTAAACTTTATAAATAAAGATAAAAATATATTTTAAGGCTATCAAAGATTTCCAGTATTGAAACCACATTTCTCAATACTATTTGAAGGTAGGCTCTAATTTGATTGCTGAGAGCCTAGGTTCTATACAAACTGCACGTTATAATATAAGTATATTAGTAATATGTATACTATAAATATATAATATAATACTATATAATATATAACATAATATAATATACTATATAAAGTAATATATATTATATTATACTATAAAGTAACATGATATATATTATCCTAATATTATATATTATATTATATTAATATTCTATATTATAATATAGTATTATATTATATTAATATAAACTAACATATTGTTTAATAGAAAATATTATTTGCATAAATATAATTTATATTATTTAGTTAAATATAATTTATATATTAAATATATTATTTAATATATAATAACATATTATATAATATTTATTATATTGTAAATAGTGAATAGTAATTTGTGGCTCCGCATGTAAAAATAAAACCCAAGAAATACTTCTCCATGGGTTCAGGTGAGGTTTCGTTTTCATAAACCATTTTATGGTAAAATATTTCATAATGGGTTTTGTTCTTATATGTTTTGTTCCCTTAGGGGCCGTTTGAATACCTAGAAATATATTGTCTGTGAAATATATTACGGGCGTAATACATTACTGCATAATACCTTACCTGCAAATGGATTGTCATTGTTTGGGTAGTATTTAGATGCAACTTGGGAAATACATTACTATTGTTTGGCTACGTATAGAAGAAATATGAGAAATGCATTACCATCCAAATATGAAAAATATAGTTATGTTTGGCTAACATGATTAAATTTTGGTTTCAACATGATAAGTCATTGGAATAATATGATTGGAAGGACATGATTTTATTATAATAAGTCTTATTTTTTTTTATTTATAAAAATTATTTTATATATAATTTTAAATAAGCACTAAATTTATGATACCAAAATTAAAATCTTTATGGTACAAGTTAAAAACAGAGAATAAGTTTGATTAGTAATTGGAATATTTTTAGACTGTAATCCAAAAATTTTGTAAAATTAACGTTGACCATTTGGACAACTGCATCCTTTCCTCATATTTTTAGATCGAAAAAAAAAAAATTCACCCCAATGCAAAACAGTCATCCAAAAAAATTGAAGTTGGATTCAATTTTTTTTAGCTTGCAATTTTTTTTGGCTCGCCTCTTCACATTTCCCCCCCAAATTGCGCCTTTCCCCAAACCTCGTCGCACTTACAAAAAGCCTCTCTCCCAGGTCTCCCACTCTCAAGCGCAGGTCTCACAGCTTTTTTCTCTTCTCTCTCTCAAAAGATTTTTTTATAGCAGAGCAAATAAATTGAAGCCATCCCTCGCCATTTATCTGTGCCATAAAAACCCAACAAACTCCAAAACCTAACACAGAGGAATCAAATTGAAGAAGAAGCAGCGGAGTTGAAGCCATCCGTCCAAACAGGTGTGCCCATTCCACTCTTTTTAGGGTTTTTGCGAGAAGGCGTTTATAAAATTTAGAGAGAGGGGCTATTTCTAAAATTTAGAGAGAGAGAGAAATTGAGAGTTCTGAGAGGTGCTCTTTTTGTTCAGAAAACCGTGAAGCCAGGTTGCTTTGAGAAGAGGTGAGAGTTTAAAAGGAATGGTAAGGGAAATTTGAGTTCTCTTTGGAGGGTATGTTTTTCTTGGGTTTATTGTAACTGTTGTTTTTTCTCTGTTATGTTGTTCTTATTCTGTACTCTCCATCATCAAGGGGTTTGTGGGTTCATTTTTCTTATCATGTTGCGGGGTTTGGGTTTTGCTAATCTATGTGATTTATGCCATTTCGCTTGATGGAATCTTTAGTTTTCTCATGTTTTACAGTTCAGTGGATTGTGCTGTAATAAATTGTCCAAATCTCTCTCACTATCTCTCTCTTGGGTGTTCTCAACATCATCATTTGGATGCCATGGGATAAAATTTGGGTTGTTTCTCTTATTAGAGATTGTTTTAGAATCCATATATGAAGGAGCTTAAATTACACAGCTGTTTTAGTCCTGTTGTATTTGTACCTCTGGATCCAGAACTATGCTTGATTTAGGAAATTCACATTCACCAGGTTTTCTATTGGTTTCCATGATTACAAAAACTAGCTTAGGAAATCACCAGGTTTTCTATATGTTTATGTGATTATGAAAACCAGCTCTTGCTTTACAATTTAGAGTAGTTCAAGCCCCATAGGAGAGCATGGTTGTTGAAGTAGACATTACACACTTGTATTGATGGTTCTCTTAAGTTCTAAGAGGCTGAATCCACCAAAGTTGTTCTTGTTAGGGTTTATGGACCACATTATGGCCATCAACTTAGGATAACTTGTGCATACTATGAAGGAGGTTGAACACAAGTCTCAGTTCCTTGATTGCTTGTTGTTAAGTGTATCAGTTTTTTGTATTAGAATAAGCTTCATTTCTTTTTTATGTTTTTCGTTGTTGATTGGAATCTTTTGTCGATATTAGCCTGGGATATGGTATTCATTTTCATGCTTCCTTTGCTATGGGTACCATCTTTAAGTGCACGTTTGTTTTGTGGAAAGGGGGCTGCCAAAGACTCCTCTTCGACACACTTTGGAAGCTCAGTGGCGTCCACAAAATACATAAGATTCATAGGGTCTTGATCACAGTATTGAGTGACTTTCATTCACATGACATTTTTTATTGTTATCTAGAATCAAATGATATGTGGCATAGTTTTTCTGACCAAAGTAATAAGGCTTGATCTTTCTTGGGTTGCTTTTAATAGAGCAGTTTTCACAGGAGATCCCCATAAAAATCTAAAGAAAAATCACAGAAATATGAAATTATAGAAACCAGTTTGGTATGCAAGAAATCTAGATGCTGCTGCATTATATGTTATTGATCCAAGGAATGATGTTAATAACAGAATGTTATGCTTTGGAAATATTTGATCCATAATATATGTGTGTCATTCAGCTTATACATGTTAGTGCAACCCCCCTACCTCTCAAGATCCAACCAAGGCAAATTGGACTACAACTCGCGATGAATCATGGTTGAACAATTGATAAAATTACATTTTGCTGGGAAGCGGTCTAAAGAAAAGATTTCCTCTCTTGAAAGTGGCATCAACATATCCTTATGAAACACAAGTTAAGATAGTCGTTGTTGCTTGCACTTTACATAATCATATCCGAACTATAATAGGTGGTGATGATGGGCTCTACGAGGAGTATGATAGGGAAATTGCATATGGATCAGTTGAAGGAACAAATATTGAATATAACGATGTAAACCCTCAAGCTGATAAAAATGATGGTGATGAACTGCGAGATCGTATTGCTAAAGAACTTTGGGATGATGTTGTGCTCACCGTTGATCATAATATGGCACATAAATATAATTGGTTGTAATCATGTTTTCTAGTATTCTCTTTTGTGGCAAAACTTCCAATACTTTGAATTATAATATTAATTACCTGGGGTATCGTTCATGGGTTATGGAAATGGTGTGAAACTCATTTAAAAATATAGTTGTTCATTCTTCTCTCTATGCCCATGGAATTTATTAAACACATGAAAGAACATAGTTTAAAATCAAGGTTGGTCAAAACTGTTTTATGTAATGAGAAAAATAAAGAAAAAATACGAATTTAGAATTTATTGCAACGCATCCAAATAGACATATCTGGCAAATAAAATTTTCTTCTCATATTTTAATAGGCGTCCAAACAGTCTACCAACATAATAAAAAAAACGATAATGTTTCTCAATTGAGAAGAAAAAAAATTGCATTTTTTTCAATGTGAATATTTTTTTCTTTAACATCCAAATTGATTTTCAAAGTAATTTTCAAATATGATGTAATTTTTATTTTGAAAAACCAACATGTTGCTATAACTATTGAACCATTACTATTTGCATGTGTATAGGCTATTGAAGTTGAAAGGAAGAGGTTTGACATTGTTGTAGCTTCCTATGCTGCTCATGGATCAAGTTTTTGTAGAGGACAAGTAGCCTATGCAATAATTTAATTTCATTTTGATCATAAGTCTAAAAAAGAACCTATGTGAAGTGTAATTTTGGACTTCTTGGGATTTTATATTTAATTTTATATAATCTAATGCGATGCAATATTATGAATATGATGGAATTTGAGAATAATTTATTATGGGTCATGGAGAGAGAGAGAGAGATAATTTGACCTATAAAATGATAAAAAAATATTAGCCGATCCAGCTAATTTGCTTGCTATATTGTTGATAACTTCTTCCCAAAAAATTATCAACCTATAGAATGAACGGCTAAATTGTTTTAACAACAATCAACCAAAGCTTGATTTTGATCTTGATGGAGCCAAATACAATAATTTTCACTTACTGGGTTCGTCCAGCAGCCAGGCAAATAACATTGTCTTCAAAATTCAGGTTTTACATGTGGAAAAAGTTTATATAAGGATGCTACCTTATAATGTAGAATTGCAGATGCGCCTCAAAAATCCATGGGAAAAAGGTAGTTTTAACGTTGAAGAGCCTTTGATTGATCATCTTGGCATCGAGATGTATGACTATGAAAAATAAAAAGATTTTAAGCCTTAGAAATAGTGCATTTTACAACATATTATTCTATACCGTCAATTTTCAAGATTTTCATAGGTTTATAGATCTACTTGATTTTAAATATTTTTTAAATTAAAAATTTTATAATTAGATATAAAAATAGATTTTTCGATGATCCTAAAATATTTTACATAAAAAAAATATACAATGATTAAATTTTGAAGGGCACCATACCTCTACACCTACGGAGGCGTCCGTATACAAACTGCACCCTTTATATATACTAGAATCTACATAACCAGGTTTTGATACATATCGAGGTTTGTGTATCCAGGGACCCAAACCAGGTTTACCGATCTACTTAATTTACGCCACTTATGAGGCCTTAAATTCTATAATCAGGGGTAAATGAAGATTTATCAGCTGTCAAATAGGTAGGTTGGCCATGCAAAGTTTTTTAATTTGCGAATTATCTAAGATTTAGATATACCCTTAGTTCGACTTTTTAAGGTTAACCAACCCCAATAAATTATGATAGTTATTTGGAGGTACCCTTGGTTCGACCACTTAAGGTTAGCCATCCCCGATAAGTTTATTTTTGGTAACTTCATTGCAATGTTTTTTAAACTGTGAATTAGAAGTGCATTGATAGAGATGCTCGCAGGCTTTCCCCCCTCTGCGCCAAAAAGTTTAACACGCAACTGGAATGGCTATTTCCAGAGGGCGGAGATGTCTTCTCTCTCTGCCTCTCCTCTCTCTGCCTCTTCTCTTCTCAGGTAACTTGAAATCACGCGGTTTCTCTCTCCCCCCCTTCCTCTATAAGGATATTTCTTTTTATTTATTTTATCTATTTGTTGGGGAAGCGATCGAGATTTTTTTTGAGATGCAGTCATGGAGTTAACGCATTTGCAAACTGCAAATATGGTCTCATCGCCCTCAAATCCCAAGAAATTTGATCATCTCGTACTTGGCCCAGCTGCTGGACGAGGCCTTCCCAATCGTGTGCAATGTCAAGGTTCGTATTACCTCTCTGCTTCTCTGTTATCTGTTTCTTCCAATTTTTGTTCACTTTTGGTAAATGAGTTGGTTGCTTGTTTCTCAGGTTCATGTTTTTGTATTTCCAATATTGTTCTCTCTTTTGGCATACTTCATCATGATCATCTTCAAAGCTTTTTTCAACTTATTATTCATCTTTTGGCATACAATGATTCAACTTATTTTTCAACTTATTATTCATCTTTTGAGAGTGAATAAATCTTATATTTGAAATGTGTGTAACTTACAATGATTACATTAAAAAAACAGTATACTAAATAACATGAAATATAAAACAAAATGATGTACTAGTTTGCACTGGCAATGCATGTGCAATTGAAGACATAATATTTATGCCGTTTAAGAATGAAAATTAGTCTGTAATATGGGTAGATTAAATTATGAAATTACGTCCCTCAATACGATTGAAACCACTTGACCATGCTTATGGATATGTTATTTTCTTTTTCTTTATTAGATGGTTTTTAATGGGCATGATGTGGTTTTCTTCTCTGGGTACCTTTACCTTGCTTTCACGTTGTTTCGGATTTCCCATAGAAATCAGTTTAAAGCAGGCTGCTTGTGACATTAAAAACATCAATCCCCTTGAGTATTAATAATATAAAATCTGGGTTGCAGCAATTCTGTTATTTATGTGTGTTTTAGGGGATTTCGATTTGTGTTTTAGGAGATTTCGATTGGCTTAGGCAAGTGGCACGTGCTTAACTTTGTTTGATTTAAAGAAAATTTCATGAAATAAGTTTAAATGGGTTTCATAGCTCATATTATTATTATTATTTCTCTCACTGATATTCTTCTGGTAAACTCATAAAGTTTGCTTATTGTCATGAAACTATCTTTTCTTGGTCTTTATGTATCTTCTATTGTGAAAATTCATTAATTTGCATTTTTTTTCACAAATGTTTATGCAGAATCTCTCTGCTTTAGTATGTACCTACATAATATTGTCTTTCTGAATTAAAGTAATGTACATTGTATGTGCAATATGCTCAATGTAGGTATTGTGTATTGGTCTAGGCATTTGCTCAACTGTTGCTAGGTGATTTACCTTCTAATTGGCATTCTAATATTCCTCATCTCTGAAACTAAGATCCATGTAAATTTGATATCCGTGTACACATGGAGCAGATTCTTCTTTGTTTTAAGATAGGTAGGCATTGCCCAACTGTTGCTAGGTGATTTACCTTCTAATTGGCATTCTACTATTCCTCATCTCTGAAACGAAGATCCATGTAAATTTGATATCCATGTACACATGGAGCACATTCTTCTTCGCTTTAAAGAATGATGTGTTCAATAGAGTGAAAGTTGGTATGCCCTCTCATTTCCAATGGACTTGCCCTTAATGTGACGACCCTATCCATCATGGTTTAAAAGAATGTTTACTAGAATAATTGCAAGTTACAACCGTATCCATCCTGGTTTGAGAGAATATTTCCTAGAATAATTACAAGTTTCCTGACAATCAGATGCCATGCCCATTCCCAGCTAGATTTTTATTGATGGAGGAACAAGGGGGTTAGCTCCTAGTGGGATTTTGAGGAGACAGGATCAGATAATTGATCTTGGATGGGAAGTCCATGTTGGATTATGATTTCTAACAAAATTGGAATTCCTATGTGGGTTGGGATTCCTAATTTGGTTATGAGTCTTAAGTGGGTTAGGGTTCCTGCTGGGAATAGGAGTCCTAAAGAGATCAGGAGTTCTACAAAGATTTAAAGACGGAGGGGCCTTCATAATACAAGGTTTAGATGAGGTACTGCTAGGGTTAGGGTTATGTGGTAGGGTTTGGTTGGGTTAGGGCAATGTTTAGGGTAGATGGTAGGTTCATGAAGGGGTAAGCCTTGCTGTATTTTGTCAGTCTAGGAAGGTAGATGATTGTGTAAGGGCTATATGAGGTTAGAATTAGGGTTTGAAGTCTTCAAAAGTTAGGTATGTAGGAAAGGTTGGTACCAAATTAGTGTATTTAGGGTTTGGATGGTGTTACTGTTTTGTAGGTTGTGAGGGGATGAAGTAAAGAAGGTTAGATGGCTGGCTTTGATCATGATGGGGAACATAAGATAGAGGGGGCTTGTATCTGGCTACAAAGGATGGAGGCGGGGCTTGCAAGGTGATCAAATGTTGGTGAAGAGATCAAATGTTGGTGACGAAAGGAATGAAGATGGGTCTGCCTCACCACATATAGAAACAAAGGCTGTGTAGCTCATAGGGTAGGAAATGAAGTTGGGTGTGCCACAACAAACAAAGAAAATAAGGCTGTATGCCATAGAGGACATTTTCCCAATCCATAAAATCACTTGCTTTGCAAAAAGATTCGAGGAATTTCTTCTCCAAAAATTGACCTATCTCCGCAATTGAAACCCAAATTTAATTACTCAACTACAGGCTTACATGATATTCATGTTGGAAAAGTGTACAATATGACCATTTATCTTTGGTTCAAGGAGTTCATTGTGAACTTTGGCCATTGGATTTGACATATGGCAGCTGGGTTGTCTCATTGAATAGCTCAAAGTCAAATTTTTTTTTCTTTCAAATTTGTAACACGCCTTAAGATGTCATATTTCACATCTAACAATTGTAGATGATTGCGACCTCCTTATACCAAAAGTATTATAGTGTACAAGCCTTTTTAGATTTAACTTGGCTAGGAGTCTAGCTATTCTTAATTTTCCTTACTTTTCTAAATTCCAGCTTCTTTGAGACCAGCGTTATAGTTCCTTTATAAGTTAGGATATCTGGCCTTTATATAACATGGAAGGATCCTCTTATAGAACACCTTAACAAAAATAGAAATTACTTGAATTGTAAAATATGGAAAGAAATAACTTTCTAAAATTAACAAACTCTCAAAATTTCAATGATAAAAAGAACTCTTAAATTTGCTAAATTATGAATATGACAACCTTTAAACACTAATTGCATAAATAATCTAAATGGAAAAAGAATGATTTAAGGGCTTAATAATGAAAAGAAAGAATATAACACCTCAAGGGGTACAAAGTTCATCATTGATTTTTTAGCAGGCTGTTGACCATGATTTGAAGTCTTAACATCCAATTTAAGGCATTACGGAAATAGAACTTATAAATCTCAGAGAGATCTCAGTTTGAGCCTCTGACCACCCCAAACTCATTTGGAGTGAAACACTTTTCCTTTGGGAACTGGTGCCCAACGTGTAAGAACTGGGACTTTTGGGTTCGTTGATCTCGTTTGCATCCTGAATCCTTTCCTACTAATGCTTCCCTCATATTTCTTTCTCGATTTGCTGAATAACGTCTATCTGGTGTTTTGAGTGGTACTGTGTTATTGTAGGGATCGCGGGCTTTCTGACAGTACGAAAATCGCTCAGATTTGAGCTACCGTTAGAAAGTCATGATCCGTACTCCGAATATTTTCTTACGCGCATCCTAATGCACCATGCACGAATCCCCATAAAAACAGACCCATCCCAATGCACATGATTACATCATCCATGCCCCCACACAATGATTACAATATGCACTCTCTCCCCTCATGCATAATCACTTATGTGCCATGTGGCACATGCATGCTTCCACCCCCATTATTATACTCCTCATGCATGCCTTCTCTCTCCTCATGCATGATCACTTGTGTGCCATGTGGCATATGCATGCTTCTACCCCCATCATTGTGTTCCTCATGCATGCCTTCTCTCTCCGCATGCATGATCACTTGAGTGCCATGTGACACATGCATGCTTCCACCCCATCATTATGTTCCTCGTGCATGGATTCTCTCTCCTCATGCATGATCACTTGAGTACCATGTGGCACATGCATGCTTCCACCCCGATCATTGTGTTCCTCATGCATGCCTTCTCTCTCCTCATGCATGATCACTCTAGTCTATGTGGCACATGCATGCTTCTATCCCCCATGCTTATATGTACCCCCCTTCCACTCATAAATTGGGTTTAACTCTCTCTCCTCACCCCTCCACTCCCTCATTTGTCCTTCTTTCTCCTTGTTCTTTTTCTTCACCCTTAGCCCTTTAACCCCATAAGCCTTAAACCTTTGAAGCTTGAACTCAATCCACTTGAAGCTTGACAACCGAAGTGGAGCTTGTAGAACATTCCATCTTGGGGATTTTGATTGGAGCAATGTAAGTAGATTTAGTTTCCATGGTTTCATGCTTATGTTAATGCATGTTTTTTACCTAATTCAAATGTGAAATTCAAGTGTTTGTGTGTGTGTATGTGTGCGTGTGAGTGTGAGTGCATGCTTACTAAAATTTTGTTAAAGTGTATTTTGATTTCCAGAATTGTGGTCCCTATTTGAGAGATTGTTAGGGTACCTTAAACATTTCCTTAGACCGTGAATTTTGATGGGTTAGTAGCATGTTGAATGTATTTTCACATGGAATATACCTCTTGTTAATAACTCATGTAATTTGAAAGCTATTAACAATTTACTGCAGCATGTCAGATTAGTGAAATGAAAATCCAGGGATTTAACATGTTTTTGTGTGAAGCTTTTGACTGGCCAAAATTTACTAGAATGATGTGAAACCACTTTGAAATTTTAGATAGATGAGTCTATTTTAAAATTGGTTTTGGAATCATAATAAAATTCCTTATGATTTGAAAGTTATGGTCATTTTTCTAGTAGGGTGTCACCCTAGATTTTTTGCTGCGTAAAGTAGAAGTTTCATCCGGGAGAATCAAATAGTTTGACAAAAGTTATCTTGTTATGATTCTTGATTATCAAGAAATTGGTTGTAGGTTTAAATGATCTTTGAATTTAATGATATGCCCTTAAAGGTGGACAATGTTCAACGTGGAAAAACTAGTAATGACATAGTGATGTCTATTACATTGATATATAGCATGCTATTGACATGATAATGTCTTTTGAGCTGATAAGCATTATAATATGACACAGTGATGTTTATTACATTGATATATAGCATGCTATATGATAATGTCTCTTGAGCTGA